TTTTTGCTTATGTGGTGCTGAGGAATCGAACCCAGGGCCTCAGGCATGCAAGGCAAGCACTCTACCACTGAGCCACCTTCCCAGCCCGGTATCTCCATTTTTAATGTTCCAGAACCTAAGGAGAGAGGCCCACAGGTTCAGATTTAGAAATGTACTCATTCATTCATTCATTTGAGACAAGGTCTTAATTTGTTACTGTGACCAGTTTGCATATCTACAGCGACATGCTTAGATGTAATAGTTTTACTTTATTGAAGCACTCCAAAATATAATACCAATAACGAACTCCTAGGTCTAATTCTACTAGGCATGCCCCACACCCAGGGAAAATCTTGGTCTGGAGGTGGAGGGGAGTCTGCCGGGGTATCCTCTTGGCTGTTCCAATGGCTGAAGGGAGAAGTGGCCGCCTTGCAGGTGCAGGCTCCAGACATGGAGTCACCTTGCCCTGGGAGGTCATCTCGTTGGGTCTCTGTTGCCCTGGGTTTTTATATGTTTTAGGCTGGCCCTTCACTTCTGGCTAAGTCTAATTACCAGGGTTGCCTTGGTGACCGCTTTGCTTCCGGTCAGGTCTGGTTATTGATGAGGGTGGGGCTGGCTTGCCTCTGGCTGAGTCTGGTTATTGATGAGGGCTGGTTGCTTTGGTAACAGCTCTGCAGGCTCCCTGGGTGTGTTCTTCTTTTTCTTTTTCTTTTTTTATGTCAGTTGTGGGGCCTGAACTCTGGGCCCCGGGCGCTGTCCCTCAGCTCTTCAGCTCAAGGCTATAGCGCTCTACCACTTGAGCCACAGCGCCACTTCTGGCTTTTTCTGTTTATGTGGTGCTGAGGAATCAAACCCAGGGCTTCATGCATGCAAGGCAAGCGCTCTACCACTGAGCCACCTTCCCAGCCCGTCCCTGGGTGTGTTCTTATCTACCCATTCCATAGTTCTAACTTCTAATTTTACAGCTTAACATTTCATATTATTTCACAGCACAATACATTCAATATATTTCTATTCAATCGTGCAATAGCATGTCAATATTCATTATGTAATACATTATGTCTATCTAATAGCATAGTATGTCTGTCTGTATTTAATAGCACATTATATCAGTACACACTGTGTCAATATTCAATAACACATTATGTCAATGCACTGTCAGTAGTCAATAACAGTATGTCAGTATACACTGTCAGTATTCAATAACACACTATGTCAGTACACACTATGTCAGTATTCAATAATATTCACCCAGGCTGGCTTTCAACTTCTGGGCTCAATCAACCCTCCTGCCTCAGGTTCCAGAATAGCTGGGACTACCTGTACATAGCTCAGATTTCTAAATACTTTAAAAGGTGCTTGTTTCTATCTATCTATCATCCATCTATCTATCACTAGTATTGGGCTTAAACTTAGAGCCTGGATGCCATCCTTTAATTTTTTTGGGGGGGGTTGTTTTTGTTTTTGGTTGTGGGGCTTGAACTCAGGGCCTGGGTGCTGTCCCTGTGCTTTTTACTCAAGGCTAGGGCTCTACCACTTTGAGCATCACTTCTGGTTTTCTGGTGGTTAATTGGAGATAAGAGTGCCCTTCAGGGCTGGGAAGGTGGCTCAGTGGTAGAGCGCTTCATGCATTAGGCTCTGGGTTTGATTCCTCAGGGCCATATAAGCAGAAAAAGCCTGAAGTGGTGCTGTGGCTCAAGTGGTAAAGTGCTAGCCTCGAGCTGAAGAACTGAGGGATAGTGCCCAGGCCCAGGGTTCAGGCCCCACGACCAACAACAACAAAAAGAGTCTCTTGCTGAGATCCTCAGATCTCAGCCTCCAGAGTAGCTAGGATTACAGGGATGATCCACTGACACCTGACCCTTTAACTTTTTTATTTAAGGCTAGTAAAAACAATGTTTAGCTCCACTTCAGCTTTATACTGGCTAACTGATGATCAGAGACTCATAGGCTTTCAGTCTACCCCAGGATAGCTCCAAATTGTGATCCTCAGATCTCAGCCTCCTGAGTAGCTAGGATTATAGGAGTAAGCCACCTGGTCCCAGTATGTTCATTCCATTATGCATAATAAGTGAAAACTGGCTAGATGTGGGGTAGGAAGAAAGATCTTGAGTTTGAAGCCAGCCTGGGCTTCATAGGGAGAACTTGTCAACCACAACAATAATAATACTAATAAAATTAATAACAGCAATAATAATAATTTTACCATTATAGGTCCGTCATGAGAATAAACATGAAATACCATATAAAAACAGTTCATCATCTTGCCTGGTCCAGCAAGTTGAAGTTGAGAGAGAAGAGGTAGTAATAGGAAAGCAAACAAGAGGGGTTGGAGGCGTGGCTTAGTTGGTAGAGCACTAGCCAAAGAGTACTGAGTACCTAAGGGGGGGAATAACAATAACAAAAGAAAGCAAACAAGAAACCCATTTATACACACACACAGCCCTGGTTCCATGCTCACACTTCAAGACAAGGGTTCAGTGGCTGCCTCTGCTCACACTTAACTCTGTGAGTCTATGCCAATTAGAACACAGGTCTCACCCCTTCTCCCCAGAGCTCTGTATTATTTGGTAGCCAACTGCATAGCTCACCAGAGTCGAGGGCACCGAACTCTCTGCCTGTGTGTTTTTAGCTCCTAGCATTTACAAAGTAGACCATCAGATATTTGCCAATTGAATGCTCAGGCTTTTACTTCTCAGTTTCCCTGACCACTTTAGTGAGAATACCATGTAATAAGAATTTGTAAGAGATATACATTTGTGTTTATGTATATGTCACATTCAACATATCTATTTATTACTCGAAGTACATCTTCATTTTTGACGGGGGAGGTGTGGTCCTGGGGCTTGAACTTGAGGCTTTAAGCTCTTGCTTAGCTATTGCGTTCAAGGCTGGTATAGATGTAGTAGAGATCTACATCTCTATTTTTGACCTTTTGTTGGATAATTAGAAATAAGTGTCTTGCCGGGCGCTGATGGCTCACGCCTATAATCCTAGCTACTCAGGAGGCTGAGATCTGAGGATTGTGGTTCAAAGCCAGCCCAGGCAGGAAAGACCGTGAGACTCCTATCTCCAATAAAACCACCAGAAAACCGGAAGTGGCGCTGTAGCTCAAGTGGCAGAGTGCTCGCCTTGAGCTGAAGAGCTGAGGGACAGTGCCCAGGCCCAGAGTTCAGGCCCCACAACCGACAAAAAAAAAAAAAGAAATAAGTGTCTTTCAACTTTGTGTGCCCATTCTGGCTTTGAATTTAGATACTCATATCTGAGCCTATCAAGTATTTAGGATTATTCATGTGAGCCACTGGCACCCAGCTCAGTAACTCTCAGGCTCAATAACTCCTGTTAATTAGAGATGATATAAATCATAGATAACATGCATCACTCTCTTCATATCCTGTATTTTCATTTACTCTTTGCCCAATACATACACAGTCTGATTTTATTAGGAAAACAAGGAGCCACATATCTGTAATCCTAGCTACACAGGAAGCTGAGATCTGAGGCTCACAGTTCAAAGCTAGACTGGGCAGGAAAGTCTGTGAGACTTTTATCTCCAATTAAACACCAGAAAACTGGAAGTGAAACTGTGGCTCAAAGTGATAAAGTGCTGCCCTTGAGCAAAATAGCTCAAGGACAGCTCCCAGGCCCAAAGTTTAAGTCCCACAATTGACCAAAACGAAAAAGAAAAACAAAAATACAGGGACCTCCCAAGTGTAGCTCAGTGAATGATTGCTTGCTTTTTCTATTTATGTGGTACTGAGGAATTGAACCCAGGGCTTCATGCATGCTAGGCAAGCATTCTAATACTAAGCCCCATTCCCAGTACATCTTTTTTGTTTGTTTGTTTTCTGGTGGTTAACTGGAGATAAGAATCTCATAGGCAGGGCTGGAAGGTGGCTCAGTGGTAGAGCGCTCGCCTTGCATGCCTGAAGCCCTGGGTTCGATTCCTCAGCACCACATGAAGCAAAAAGAAAAAAGCCGGAAGTGGTGCTGTGGCTCAAGTGGTAGAGCGCTAGCCCTGAGCTGAAGAGTTGAGGGACAGAGCCCAGGCCCAGAGTTCAGGCCCACGACCGGACCCCCCCCCCAAAAAAGAATCTCATAGGTTTAGTGAGTGTGTGGTGGCTCACGCCTGTAATCCTAGCTACCCAAGAGACTGAGAACTGAGGATTGAGGTTCAAAGTCAGCCTGGGCAGGAAAATCCGTGAGACTCTTATCTATAATAAATCACTGGAAAACCAGAAGTGGCGCTGTGGCTCAAGCAGTAGAGTGGTTGCCTTGAGCTGAAGAGCGCAGGGACAGCGCCCAAGCCCGGAGTTTAAGC